TCCACCATATTTCCCTGAAATCTGTTCTGTATTTTCAGAACATAGTGCTGACTGACAATCAGAAAAACAAAGACATGCACCACGTTTAATGAAAATAAATGCAAAAAACCTCTGAAATAAAACATATTTATTGATACATATTTGAGTTATTTTGGCAACAGAAGTTGACTTAACATTCAAGTTCAAATGAAAATTGTAACTCTTGTAACACATACGCGTGTGAAGTATACCCCCAGCTTCAGTACCTTGTGGAGAGTCCTTTAGTTTTTATAACTTCTAACAAATGTTTTTGATAAGTGCTGACAAGCTTCTGACACCTCTCAATTGGAATCTTTGCCCATTCTTCACGTGCAAAAGCCTCTAGCTCAGTGATGTTTGACGGCTTCCGTGCTGCAACTGCCTTCTTCCAATTCCACCAAAGATTTTCAATTGGATTTAAATCTGGTGATTGAGAAGGCCACTCCAGGATGCTCCAGCATCTTTTCCCCAACCAAGCTCATCATTGTCATGCTGGAAGATCCAATGATCACCGAGATTTTATTTGTCAACAACAGAACAACATTGTGAACTGAAATATTTCACAGTATTTACTGTTAATTGTTGTTCTGTTGTAACACATGGTAGAGTTTAGTGAGTTTTTGGGTGATTGAACCGCTATAAAACGCACTTGGAAAGTCAAGGACCAATTATTCTGGCCATTAAATACTAACTTCAGCACACTTAGTTTTGAAACTGGCAGATTCTGAGGTCAGATCCATATCGTATTTCACTGTACAGCAAGTTTTCTTCATACACTACACTTGTGTACTGTATTTTCTACTTTGTCAAATCAAACATGTGAAAACCGTAATAGGACTGAGTCTACTTGTGGTGCTGCAGCCTTCTTGTAAACTAACAAGCTATGCCAATGACATACTTTGGTGCTTGTGTAATTCAATGAAGTAACTTGGGAGTAAAATTACATAAATAAATATTCTAAAACTTTGGATCAAATACCCTCTTGTATTGTGTGTCTTTCTATATTTTGTCACAAAATATGGAACTTTAGCATCCCTTTTGAGGCTATGTATTCGCTGAAACACTGCAAAAACTACAACTACCAGAAGACCCCAATCCTAGCGCTTCCGGTTTAGTGTTACCATGGGAGCTGGAGCTTTGTGGAGTCTGTTAACAGGAACAGTGGAATGTCGAGTTTTGGTTGTTTTTGTCTCATTGCATTTGTTAACGCTATTCACCATAACTGCATCAATTTGTGTGGCTGCATTTAACGTTAAAGTTCGGCACTAGTTAGGCATTTAACTAGCAAAGCTAACGGTATAATGGCGCTCGGTTGTGAAAGTTAGCTCAGTATAGCTTGTGTAATTTGACGTTCATTTGGTGTCTTGTTATATTAACCAGTATAGCTGACGTTACGTTGTAAGCTGTTCATTTCGGACTGAGCATAGAATTCGGTGAAACTATCACCACCGCCATGTTTATATACCTCAGCAAGAAGGTGAGTGCCTAGGACACGCTCCTGTGCTCAGCCACCTTCCTTGTCACTTTATTGATAGGTGGCGTCGCCAGTTAAAACAGCCTTGTTAACAGTGTGACTCCTATCTTCTTTATTTTGTAGATTGCTGTTCCAAACAGTATTCATCTAAAATGTGTCTCCTGGAACAAAGATCAAGGCTTTATTGCTTGTGGAGGTGACAACGGTCTCCTGAGAGTACTCAAGCTTGAAACTCAGGCAGGTAAGTTCAGGGTACAAAACTAATAACCTGCTTTGGGTCATTGCTGTTGTCGTTTTGAAGTCTGCTTTGGGTCATTGCTGTTGTCTTGGCTAGAGTGTAATACAGACTAAATTCAGACAAATCATCCCAACTTAAATAATCATTTAATATTACAATTATTCTGAACAGAGTAGTAGTTAACTAAGCCATCTGGTAGTTAGGGAACAGAGAACAGAATCACTCCTCCTGCAATGGAATAGATAAAGTATTAAATAAGAAGATTGTCAGAAGCGCCAGTCAGTCTTGGGCACAAGGTCCGGTCAGAGGTCCAGTCAGTCCAGGGGAGGGGTTCAAACAATTTGTGATAATCATAGATAATGATAAACACATTGTTCACAACTATTAAAACATGGAATGTTCAATGCAGTACACATATATGCGTTGTTTGACATTTGAAATCCTTAACACTGAATAACTGTGATATATTCTGAACATAAAAGGACCCAGATAAAATCACTAAAGTACTGTTGCAGCGTCCACATGTTGTTACCTGTAGCGCTGAGAAATCTTTTAACACTAAGTTGTTAAAGTTCCTTTTTAGTTTAAAAGATTGAAGACCTAATAACATAATAGTAACACTTACAGTTACGGTCAGAAATATTCAACCCCCTCACCTCAAAAGACATTATAGTGATGTTGATGAAAGATAATGAAAATAAATGCAAAAAAACCCCTTTGAAATAACAAAAAATATTTATTGATACATATTTGAGTTATTTTGACAACAGAAGTTGACTTAACTTTGAAGTTCAAATGAAAATTGTAACTCTTGTAACACATAAACATGTGCAGTATTATTCAACCCCCAGCTTCAGTACCTTGTGGAGCGTCCTTTAGTTTTTATAACTTCTAACAAAGGTTTTCGATAAGTGCTGACAAGCTTCTTACACTTCTCGATTGGAATCTTTGCCCATTCTTCACATGCAAAAGCCTCTAGCTCAGTGATGTTTGACGGCTTCCGTGCTGCAACTGCCTTCTTCCAATTCCACCAAAGATTTTCAATTGGATTTAAATCTGGTGATTGAGAAGGCCACTCCAGGATGCTCCAGCATCTTTTCCCCAACCAAGCTCATCATTGTCATGCTGGAAGATCCAATGATCACCGAGATTTTATTTGTCAACAAAAGGCATCACGTTCTTCTTTAAAATGACCTGGTATTTCTGGGAATCCATGATGCCAGGTACACAATCAAGATTGCCAGTTCCTGCTGCAGAAAAACAGCCCCACATCATCAATGACCCACCTCCGTGCTTGACCATGGGGATGGTATTCTTTTGGTCATAAGCCTGGCCTTTTGCACGCCAGACATACCACTGGTCCATATGTCTAAAAAGTTCCAGTTTGGTTTCATCAGTCCATAGAACTGTCTCCCAGAACTCTGTAGTCTTATCCAAATTCCTCCTGGCATATTCTAGTCGACTGTTGAGTGGAGTGCATCTTGGGGTCCGGCCATGAAGTCCTTGTTTATTCAGTGCAGGTTTTATAGTTACCACTGAAGCACTTGTACCAGCCTTCATCATGTCATCCTGTAGCTGTCTTGCAGTCACATGGGGTTTTTTCCTAGCTGTCCTGATTAAGTTGCTAAGGGCCCTTGATGAAATTGTGGGCTTTCTTCCAAGGCCAGAAAGGTTTGCAGATGTTCCATAAGTTTTAACCTTCCTTATAATGCTCCCAATGGTGTCTCTTGGAATGTTAAATCTTTTGGAAATCTTCTTATACCCAAGGCCCTTCAGATGTGATGAAATAAATTGGGGGAGCTAATATAGAACGAGTATATGAAATTAAATTTCTAGGTGTCATAATTGATGACAAATTTTCCTGGAAATCTCATATCAGATATGTTCAGAACAAAATAGCAAAAAATATATCGATATTGGCAAGGGTTAGATATATTTTGGACGGGAAAGCACTACGCATTTTGTATTCTTCATTGATTTTACCATACTTAGAGTATGGCGTTGAAAACTGGGGAAATACATACAAAAGCTCACTTCAACCATTGTATATATTACAAAAAAGAGCGATAAGAATTGTGCATAAGATGGGGTATAGGGATCACACCAATGGAGCTGTGTTTATGTATAAAGCCAGGAACAATTTATTACCTGGTGGAATTCAAAAACTATTTAATGAAAGGGAAGGGGGATATAATTTAAGGGGTCAGTTAAATTTAAAAATTCATGCTATACGTACAACCAAAAAAAGATTTTGTATTTCCATAAGTGGGGTAAATCTATGGAGTAATTTAAGTGTGGACATAAAAAATAGTAATAGAATTGACGAGTTTAAATATAAATATAAAGTTATGTGTCAATCAAGATATATGCAAGAACAGGCTTAATGATTAATTACATGGAACATTGTGGGTGTGGTGTATGAATGTTAATAATTCATTAATGTTAAGTAATAATATATTACTTGTGTGGTGTAGAAGATAATTATTTAAGAATGTAATTATGTAAGAATGTTAACACTGTTATAATTTTTTAGTATATTACTTGTGTGGTGTAGAAGAGAATTATTTATGTAGAGATACTGCTTGCAAACCAATGATGGTAAGATGATGTCATGGGGTAGGACTGGATAAGTCTGACTTCTTCCTACTCCATTCAAGCATGTACTAGGTATAAGCAAATTGATATTGGATTAGCATTTGTTGGATATGTGTAAAATTATGTGTGTTGACATGTCAACTGTCTTTACATGCTTGAAAGAATAAATCAAATCAAATCAAATCAA